ACAGACCACTGGTAGGGGACATGATAAGGAGGTCTCCTGTGTTTTAACCTTTACTAGGAAAGTAACTTTGAAATGACTGATTTGCCTTTTGTTCTTTTTTTTCTTCTTTCTTTCACCTTTTTCTGCCTATAAAACCAACTTCCTCAGCTCATATCATCAGAACATTCATTCTGTGTTTTAGAACGAGATACTGCCTGATTCTAGAACCACAAATACAGTACCTCATAAAGAATACTTTTGGAGACCCTCCCCCAGTGAATTTCTGAAACTGTGGATGGTATCAAACCCAATATATTGTTTTCTCCTATAATACATGCCTTTGATAAAGTTTATAAATGAAGCACAGAGAGAGTAGCAACATATTAGCTGCAGAACTAGCATAACTTTCTTTTACTTGTTCACAATCTCATGGAAGATTCTTTTTGTTTTTCAGTAGCTCTTAGCAACCTCAACATTTGATTCATTTTCTTTCCTTCTTGAGAGCTTCTACCTCTTCACTCAAAGGAAGCACTTACAGCTTCTCGTTGGCACATCTGAATTGCCAGCACCTCTGCACTTGCACTTTGGGGCCATCATTAAGTAAATAAGGGTTTCTCAAACGTGGCGTGAGGGTGTGGGGTTGTGGTACAGTGGGTTAAGTGGCTGCACACAATGCTCAAATCCCTTATGAGAGTGGGGTTCCAACCCAGCTTCCTTCTAACATGCCTGGGAAGGCAGCGGGTGATGGCCCAAGTACTTGGGCCCCTGCTACTCATGTAGAGTTCCTGGCTCCTGGCATTAGGCTGCCAGCCCTGGCTGTTGTAGGCTGCAGATGCAAGATCTCTCCCTCTCTCTGTTCCCTGCCTTTCAAATAAATAAATCTTAAAAATAAAATAAACTCGGCCGGCACCGCTGCTCAATAGGCTAATTCTCCGCCTTGCAGCGCCGGCACACAGGGTTCTTGTCCCGGTCAGGGCGCCGGATTCTTTCCTGGTTGCCCCTCTTCCAGGCCAGCTCTCTGCTGTGGCCTGGGAAGGCAGTGGAGGATGGCCCAAGTGCTTGGGCCCTGACCCCATGGGAGACCAGGAGAAGCACCTGGCTCCTGCCTTCGGATCAGAGCGGTGCGCCGGCCGTGGCGGCCATTGGAGGGTGAACCAACGGCCAAAGGAAGACCTTTCTCTCTGTCTCTCTCTCACTATCCACTCTGCCTGTCAAAAAATTAAATAAATAAATAAATAATAAACCCACAGCACTATAGTATTGCAACAGTCAATCTGAAAATATTTTCATGCTGCTGTTGAATATGGGTGCCTGAAACTGTGGAGAAGTCAAACTGTGGATAAGGTGCTTAGGGGAGATGAGGGGGTGGGGAACCACTGTTCATAGTCAGTTAAGATTTTAAGTCTGTTGTAATTTTGTCTCTTGGCACATGCACTCAATTCTGAAATGAATAGGACTCCAAAACCTAAAGATGACAATATTCTTATCTGGCCCTGGTGTGAAGATAAAGGAAGAGAATCTGGACATAGCAATAGGTGGTTTCATACAGTGTTCCAATACAGTAAACACTATTTAACATGTTACATTGTCAAGATGATATTCAGTGTTATCAACAGAACAGCTTTTATCGTCTATTCTGAGTTATTGTATTAAAATAATTACTCCCTCTTAAAAATGCAAGTGAGCAAAACTTATCTTTTATTTTTCTTTGGGAAAATATCAGTCAATCTTTTCCTGATGCTGAAGGATTTTAATGATTGCTAACTATTGGGATATTTTTCAAATACTGAGGTGCATTAATGAGTTAAGTTTTAGAACCTTCTCCAATGGACTTACTCGAAATAGATTAAACC